TTGATGGAGATGGTCATCAACGCCATCTACTACAACCCCGTTCTCAGTCTTCAGGTTCTGGAAGCCAAGGGCTGGACGAACAAGTTCTTCAGCACTTGGTTCTCCAACATCGACAACTTCCGCAGAGTCCACGACAAGAAGCTGTCGATTGCCGCAATCAGCTCTCTGCTGACCTTGAATGCCAATGATGTCCCGGCCAGCGTGCAGCAAGGCTGGCCCAGATTGCTCCAGGGAGTGACCAGGCTCTTCCAGACCCTGCCGGCAGCCATCAAGCGTATGTTTCCTGAGCCTAACTATGTCAATATGTGTACTAATTTTGTTATAGATCGTGAGGATGCCACCAAGGAGTCGGACTTCACCTTCGATGAGGAAGAGGACGAAGGTGATGAGGAGAACGACTGGGATGGCGAGGTTGAGTGGACCGAGCAGGATGAGGCTGAGGCGCTCTTGGAGGGCGATGTCCCCGATGACAGTGCCGCTTACCTTGACTTCCTTAACAAGGAGGTGAGTTATATCGAATCAGCATTCGGTTGATCACCATTGACACATTATATAGGCCCAGAAGTTCGGCTCTTTTGCCGATGAAGACGAGGATGACCTTGATGAGGAGAGCCTGCTGGAGACCCCTCTGGACAAGGTTGAGCCTTACGGCATGTTCAAGCACGTTCTTATGAGTAAGTCCATGTTCGACTATTTGGAGTGTACGGCCACTGACAATGAAATAGGTCTCCAACAAGAACAGCCCCAGCTCTACGAAAACCTTGCGAAGATCCTGAGCCAAGAGGAACAGCAAGTTCTCCAGTCCGTGTTCCACGAGGCTGAAGCGAAGGCTTTGGCGGCGGCCAACGCCGAGGCGGCTGGTGTCCAGACCAATGGGAACTAGAAGCGCTACGATGAACCCGGAGGGCTGACGAAACGAGCCAGTCGGTCTCTTCGAGGCAACGAACATCGCAACGAAATTCAAAAAAGAAGAAAAAGAAAAAATGCCATCCCAGGTTGGATGTCTGTTTTGGCAGGCTTGTAAATCTTCACATCTGTCGTGGCGACGGCTAGTGTTGTCGAGCGGCCTGCTGGATACGTTATAACGCCATCTATGCCTTTTCTTATTCTCTTTTCCTTTGTCATTTAGAACAATTTCTTTTTTTCTGTCTCCTGTTCCGTTAACGTTTTTACTAACCCTCTGGTGATGTCCCCGGTTATTTTCCCAAAAGTTCCTTTTACCCCCCAATGTTCGAGTGCAGTGGTGCTGCAAATCCGAAGAGAATCGATTCCCCCCAATTAATCCTGTCAATTGACTTATGGTTATAATGTCGGACAACGTGAAGGCTATATTTATGCATTCTGCCAACCTGCAGCTGAGTATGAATGATCAATGCTCTTTGTATGGTGGCCGATGGGCAGCGCGTGCTTTTTTGCAGTAATTTGAGTCCGTGCCTTGTGAGGCATTTAGAAATGTGTAAATACTGTGATACTCCTGTGAATGATTGCCGTTTGGCTAGCATGAAGCAAGTTGCTCTTTCAAAGCCTGCGATATAAAGCTACTGGTCTTTCAAATTCTTGGCCACGAAACTACCAGCCAGACAGATGTTAGAAGTCTATCTCTATTACATAGTAACTGACGGTGTTCGGCTGTTAGGCTTTACAAACGGTGCCATACATGTATTGAAGTTTGTTGAAAGCGGTGAATTATTGTCTTTAGTTATTGGTCAATTCAAGCAAAGTGCAATACCACCAGTATAGTTCCAAAATAGTTGTGATGATCTCGCCATCACCATATCCTCCTACTGATATAGCTAAATACAATTAATGCCCTTTGTCCACATAGCTTGGTATTGATAGACCTGTTATTTGATAACTATTAACTAAAAATAATTACTAGTTATCATGTTAGCTCTATAAGCCTCGTAAACTTGAAATGAGTGGTTACTAATAGTATATATACATTCAGAGTCTTTATATATTTATTCATCCCACCAACACAGCACTCTTCTAATATGACTACAGTACGTAGACCTCACAGTTCAACCATGCATAACAACTTTTTTTTTTTTTTTCGTAAGGCGATGCCAAAATCATCCAACAGAACTAGAAAAAAACCCCCTCCCCTCCCCCATAGCGCCTTATGCCGATTAACCATCACAGAACTTTATACATCCTTACTAAAGTTATTCGGCACCCTGTATATCATTACATAAGCATTGTCACGTGATATACGGCAAAGAAATGACATCATCGCCTCCAAGACTGATCATCTCCATCATCGATCAGTAATTGAAGCTGCCATTTAATATTACAATATCTGTTCTAACAATTAAGACTAAATAAGCACTAACTTGTAACTTGTCACTATGTATTATCAATAGTAGACATAGTGACTACTATGTACACCCCCCACACGATGAAACAAAGTATCTACGTAACCACCAAATCCATCGATCCATCACCACTTACACGTCATGATGATGTTTCCCAGAACCACATCCATCCACTTTATCCACCTCCCCAATGCCACATAATCTTGACTGGCCTGGGTTTATATCATAGCTGACTGAAGTTGGAAAATCTGGACCCTGAGAGAATTGATATTTAAACCCTTCCTTCCTCTTCCCTCTATCTATCTATCTACATACCACATTCTATACCCATTATAAACCTACCTAAAACTACCTACCTACCTACAGTGAGTCCCCTTCATCCCCCTCTTTCCACTCTCACAATATCCAAAACCCTAACAAACCCCCTCTAGTCCTTCAAAGCAATAAAATAAAGGGATTAAAGAAATATGTCCGCCCCCAACGCCGGCCGCCAATCCCCCTCTCCGGAGCGCCAATCCGGCGCCCAGCAACAAGACCCTCCCTCGCAGGGCAAAGCCCAGCCTCAATATGCGCCTCCTGAACACGACGTCCAGGATCAGGCGGCCCAGACGGCGAATTTGTCGAGTAACCCCAAGCATCCGTTGGAGGATATAGAGAGTGCGAAGTTTTCGAAGGGGGGTGTGGCTTAACCATTTCTCCTTTCTCTTCTTTCTTTGAGATGATTAGGGATGGGGGTAAAGAATCGGAATGAAATGTATTTATGATATGTTTATGATATGATATTATTTTTTTGATCTACTTTCTATTTATGGGGTTTGGTGGTGTAGTGTAGTGTACTGTAGTACGGTATAGTATTGGGATGAGTTAAATGAGTTTACTTTTTTGAGGTTGTGTTGTTGGATTACAAATACAAAGAGTGATGGAAAAGGGGAGAGGGAGATGAGGCATCAAATTGGTTGGTATTGGTATTGAGGTATCGCTTGTTCCAGACAGCTAGCTATTGCAAAAAAGAAGATGTTTGTCACTGAAGCATTACATGAACTGAATAAAGGTCAAGTCATTATGGCATACAGACAGAAACCACACCCTCGTTGCTCATTACCCCTAATCCTGTTTTCTTCAGATTTCCAATTGGAATTTGGCTTTGCTTACGCCTGCTCAGCAGGAGCAGCAGTACCCGCCGGCTGAGTAGCAGGTGCCGTGCTGGGGGCAGGAGCCTCACCACCCTCAGTAGTGGACTTGCCGCTCTTCAGGTCTGCAAGTCTGCGAGCCTCGGTGTGGATATCCTGCACCTGCTTGTTGGTCTGGGAGTAAAAGTCCCGCAACTTCCTGCCAGAGGGAGTGTCGAGGGCCTTCTCGAAGTAGTGGTTCAGATTACGCCAGCCAGTGGTCGCCTTGTCGCTGAGCTTGTAGTTCTCGTCCAGACCACGAGCACGGTCCGTGGCGTGGTACTTCTGGTCGAAGGTGGACAGAGCGCTGGTGAAGCGCGACGAGAACCCGTGCTTGTTGTCCAGAGCGATGGCCTTCTGGATGGCAGTGTCGCTGAGGGTGTAGCCGTGGGCCAGGTACTCAGCTACAATGCGAGAACGGGGCTTGTCCTCCTGCTCGAGGTCGTGGTTGTGCTCGTCCTTGGCCTGTCCGGCGCTGGCAGCCTGGTCGCCGGCGATGTCGTCAAGGGTCTGAGCGGCCTTGACGTGCACGAGGGAGGAACCAAGCTGGGTGTTGTCGAGGAGGAGAGCGGTCTTAGCAGCACTATTGCAGGGGATATTTGGTTAGCTTTGATACTCTGGAAGGAAGAGGCAGTGATGGTGTCATTTGGCGACAATGACGGGTAAGGTGCGGGGTAACTTACGCTTCCTTTTCGAAAGTGACGGTGGCCGACTTTTGGGCTTCAGCTTCGCCTGAAACGGGGGTCACGGAAATGTGGGTGATCTTTCCGCTGTAAGGTTGTCAGCTGTGCAGTTCATGCAAGGGGTGGTTTAGAATGCCTGCATTGCATACCAGAAGCTAAAGAAGTCCTGGACCTCCTTGTCGGTGGTTGCGGGCGCAATGCCCTCGACGTGGACGGTGGAGCGTTCAGACATGATGTATGAGGTGTGTTTTGGAAGAAGGTAGAGAGAGATAGATGTAGATGGTATAGTATTCAGAGAGTAGAGTGATAAGTCTGAAGAGAAGAGAGAGAAAGGAGGAGAAGAGGAGAGCTGTTATTTAAGAAGACTGGATAATGTTTCGTGTTTAGGGGGCGGGCCTGGAGGCGCCACAGATGACGTCGCGAGGGGCAGCCAGTCTCGCGCACAGCCACAGTGGGCCACGGCCGCGTTGGCCATTCAAAGACAACATGTGAAAGTGGGAGGGAGGAGTGCAGAGTGAAACTGAAACATTCTTAGTGTTACCATCCTTGGACTATGATCTATCTAGATGGTACCAGTGTCTTCTCCCCATAGGTCCGCCCTGGCAGGCAGTAGCATTTTCCCCAGAGGCCCAAAGCGTCTAATCGCAGAAGCAAGAGTAAAGCCGGAAAAAGAAAACCGAGATGTGCGCCCGAACAACCTAGCAGTAAATAAATAACACAGACCCAAAAATGGCAAAGCAAAGCGAATAAAATAATGGCTGAAAGATCCTGCTTTCCGTAATTCATCCATAGCACCCAACCTATAGCCAAAGAAGCTTTTAGACATCCCCATCTCATTCCTTATTCTCCGTACCGGATGGCTCTTTTGAGTCTGGGGTAGGTGTAGATGGGGAGTTGTCGTCTCTCAAATGAGAAGAATTCGACTCCTGTAATTGAATCTTTGAGATGACAGACTCAAGGTCTCGGACACGTCGGCGTAGCATCTCGTTCTCGCGTTTGAGCGAATCGACTTCTCCGCGCTGCTGCAAGACCTCTTCATGGCGGCTTGTAGAACTAATACTGGGCGTCTTCTGCTGGGACAGCGAGCTGCGGTGCGGATAGCTGCCCGCATGATGGGCTGGGTGGTCAGTCGGCTGTGTCTGATGATGAGATCCTGGCGTTGATGGCAACGCCCCTTCCGATTGCCGATGAGAGGTGAGCGATGATTCCCTGCTTCGCCCCGGTCGCGAGGGATCAGGACGTGTCGCAGGAAGGTATGCCTCTCGCGCAGGAGCAATGCCGGAAACACTTCCCGCTCTCGAGCCTTGCACCGCTGGGATGTAGGAGGAGCTCAAGCTGGAGGATGAGCGGTGTCTTCGCGATGATGTGGGGTGCGCAGTGCTGATAATGTATGGCGATGCATGGAGCCCATCTACCGAGTCGTTAAGGGTGGTGGATGTCGAGGAGGCTGTCGATGCGACCGAGTTCGTTTGTTGACGAAGGAGGGAAAGCTCTCGCGACAAGCGATTCACCTAGAGTAGGATAGAGTAAGCATAGACTCAATAAAGGAAGGATCCAACGTGTCGTACCATTGCCTCCTGCTCTTGCTCGAGCATTGAATGGATATCGGAAGGAGTGAGCGGTTTGGGATGACGAAGTGGACCTTGAGCTAGTCAGTCAAGTTGCTCTCCAGCTTTCGTTGTCTGCATGGTCATTGGCTTACCCGACGTAGACATGTTGTTTGTCTGGTCGCTGACGGTTGGGATTGCAGCTGTATGAGTGCTCGGTAGAGATGCAGCGACTGAAGGAGCAATGACTTGCGACGAGCGACGTGAAGATAATGTGGACGTGGTGGTCGGTTGCATTGTTGTGGCAGCCCGAGGTCGTAATCTGGGAGAAGAAAGAGAACCGGGGTTTAGTCCGGACGCCATATATACTAAACTTTGAAGGAAGATGCAGGACGACCAAGGGTATTGACTGGTGGGATGGACGAATGGTAAAAGGTAGGACCCGAAGTAGTCCCTGAATTGATAGGTATAATCCGGCGGAGACAGTCGTCTTTCAGGTTAGTTTCGTTAGTTTGTCGGTAGGAGGAAAGCAGCAGCAGCAGCAGCAGCAGCAGCAGCACTACCACTTACTCTTAACTTCTTACTACCGACAGACTAATATTACTTTTGGCAGACCACCGATGAAGCACAGGCTGCAGCTCCCCCCCTTGATTGGACTGACTGGAATTTTAAAGCATACCAACCACTGAGCCACCACTGAACTGTGCGCGAATTCTCCAGCTGAATGGAGCCGACATGCATGGAACCTATCATCCATCCTTTGCCAGTTCCTAGCTTTACTAGTTGCTTTGCTTCACGCTCGGCCGGATGGACCTGGGGCCGCTCCCCGGGAGTCCAGAGCTTAATTATCTGTCCGAGGGAGCTTTAGCCAGTCTTTTGATTCTGAATGCACAGAACAGGGGTGATTCGGTTGGAAGATTGAAGTTTATATTTGGATCGGAAATCCCGCCAATAGTCAAGGGAGGCAATGTTGGCGCAACGATCTTGGTCGTTGTCCCACACTTCCACCGTTTCCCAGATTCTCTCATCATGGCACAGCAGGTCGTAATCTGAACCCATCTGACCGCATAATTATGTGCACACTAACGCTGTCTGTCTGCTCTTTTCTTTTCCCGCTCTACCGCGCTATCCTACTCTAGTAAGCTCGGTCGAGATTGGCTCGGCATTCTTCCTCACATGCATGAGTTTCTACCTACTATGTACTAACTCGTCTATACATAGAGCTAAGGCGGAGTCCCCATCCTGAGGCTAGAGTGAGGCCCACTCTAAGGCACTGCTTGAGCTGCTCTGTCAGATTTCTCTCAATGCAGAATCATCAATGCGATGGATTCTTCTTTGCTAGTATTTATAGGCACACGACTCTAAGGTCTATTGACTGTATTAGTGCGCACTCATCATCATAATCCGCTAAGCCCAGCCTGGGTTATGCAGAACTGCCAATCGTGGGCATGCACATCATACATGCCTGCCAAACGGTGCGCATATGATATACTCATGTGTACTGCGTACAGAGCATGTCTAATCACCAGTATGGAGTTAATGCCCATAAAGTCTACATCATCGTACTTGGTCGAGATCATATGCTGGAGTAATTGTTTCAAGTGGGACTCTTCCCCAATGCGTGCCCGGCCAATGCGCCAAAAGCGGCACCGCGTCGGGCCGAATCAACACTGTAAGGCGGATACTCCAGTATCCGCGTCTCTGCAAAGACTAGCGCATCCTACAAACACCGCGCCTACGAACACTCTGGTCTCATGGCCCTGTTCAATGGCATGAGTCACGCGACACCCACCCATATCACCTCAATCGCCAAGTCTATGAGGCCTTAGTCAGGAACCATCAAGATACTCTCTGGATCTGATAAGCCTTGATTATCTGCCTTGTTCTCGGAGAATTGACCCTGAGCCTTTGAAATACCAGTGTCAACCCCGTGTCTTATGATCAGTATTTCATAAAGCAGTCATTGACTTAAGCAGATCCCGCCAGAGTTGACAGGGCCGCGAAAACAATACCAGAAAGCGCTGCGAGCGAATGTGCCTGCGAGGAAAACCACCAAACACCACTGGGTTGTGGAGAACGCCACTATAAAAATGAGAAGAGCAAACTAAAAGTGGAAGGATTATCGGTGGATTTGCTGTTGGGATTACAAGTATATCCTCGGACTCCGCAATCGTCGGCAGGATGCAAAGTCTAGACTATATTTTTCAACAGGAAACGACACGGAATGCACGACAGCTAGTGGACGACGTATATTATATACTTAACCAATACCTGGATGATGCTTTATATAACCGGGAAGATGAATGAGAGAACGATATCTGGGCGTCCAAGGCACGTTAAACCGGGCCACGGACCTAAATGTGGCGGATCCAACAGCCAGCCAAGGGTCCATGTGTTGAATTACATGGGCAAGTGGCTGTTGGGAGTTGATCTACTATCTACCCCCAACTACGTAGCTTGGAAGCGAGGACGTACATACTTAGCAACAGGTTGAGACTAACATACATAGGCTAAATTAATGTTGACACTACTGAATAGAGTTGAGCTGGAAGGCTCAGATGCCGATGACTCACGGCATAAGTGCTCCTTTTATCAAGGAACCATAGACGAACAGTGGAAAGCGTTTGGATGGGCAGGAGGTGTATTCCGGCGCGTGGAGACCCTCCGATAGCCGGTGTTGGCCTGGTGAAATGGGATTGGCGCAGTAGCGAGCATTGCAGGCTGGGCGAACACTAGATAGGCATGGATCTGCTTGACGAACCATCGAAATTTCCTGGAAAATGAACAATGATGAACAGACGACGGAGTCATGATCTGCCTAGGAGAGCACTGGTGGTCCGTTCCCTGGCAGGGAGTTGTGAGTCAGACAAGCTTTGGCAGGGGGTTGTCTAATAGCAATTGAATAATGATTATCCTATAATAACGCTTTACAGTTGGGAAAGCAGCCCCTGGACAGCTGGGAAAAGACTGGGACGGGCTATCAAGTCAGTAAATTAGTGATCGGTATTGCTAACCGCCGGCTCCATTTCTGCCACTACTGCCGCTAGTCACCACTTAGTCACCACTTAGACTTGGCCCCGAACCTGTTAGCCTGCAATTCCCCATGCCCTCACATTGGCTGATGGCTTAGGCGGTGAGTGGCCGGGCCGGTCTTTTGGGGAATTCTGGAGTCCCAGCGATCCAGAGGGCCAACTGAAAGGGGAAAAGAGGGAAAAAAGGGCTCCGCACACCGGAGCTCTTATCGGCCCTCCCAAGGTTGGGGCATCTTTTTTTTTCAATGCAAAGTCGGAAGTCCCATTGAACCTCCTGGTCGGTCGGCAGCCCGCGCTCCATTTTGGCTGGTTCTTGGTCTCCAGAAAAAAAGTGCCGCATTGACTCATCGCCGTTTCCCGCACCTTTTCTTTACTTCTTCGTTTCCCGTTCCCTCTCCATCTTCTTTAGCCATTTCTTCCTTCACTCTAATCCTCTCCCAGAATTCAAAAAAAAGGTCCGCCTGGCCAATTCATCTCCCTTTAAGTCCTCCCCTTTGGTCGTGGGCGTGTGGCATAAAGTGGAATACACCAGGAACTCAATTGCTTGGCCTTTGCAGGGAAATTAAAAAATTCCCACAGAGCCGGACCAAAAGCGGAGTCTCCAGATCATCCTCTCCGGAACTCTGCCAGGCCATAAAGTAGAGAGTGTGCATCCTCTCAATTGACTCATCCCTTCTATTTTTCCACCTCTCTCTTTTCCCTGTCCTTTCAGCTACCAGCGCAGAGCGCAATGGTTCTCGCTACTCGTTGCGGGCAGGCTACGTCCGCCCTCCTGCGTCAGCGCTGTCTGGCGGAGTCTCGTCGCTCCGCCCTCGCTTTGCGCCCCTTCTCCTCCCAGACCACCGCTCACTCGACGGCTTCGAGTCTCAGATTGGCCAAGGCCCCTTCTCCATGGCGACCGCAGCAGCTGCGCTCTTTCTCTAGCGCCCTTTGTCGCTTGGCTTCCGAGACCTCCAACGCTCCCTCCGCTGACAGCTACCTCGCCAGTGGACTCGTCAAGCCTGGCAGCAAGTTGGTCGATGTCAAGAAGGTCCTCGTTATTGGTAGTGGTGGTCTGAGCATTGGTCAGGCTGGAGAGTTCGACTATTCCGGTAAGTTGGACGAGTCGCTGAACCTTGGCTTTCCCATCTTGATTTCCCTGCTCCTTTCCCTGGTGCTTCGCGATCAATTGAGCGATGACTACATGGGGTAAAGAAAGGAATTGAATTCAATTGGTCAAGGTAATTTTGTGAGACAGTTACTAACTCTAATTCTCTTCTATAGGTTCTCAGGCTCTTAAGGCCCTCAAGGAGGCCGGTGTCCAGTCCGTCCTGATCAACCCCAACATTGCGACGATTCAGACCGATCACAAGCTCGCGGATGAAGTGTACTACCTCCCCGTTACCCCCGAGTATGTCACCTATGTCATTGAGCGGGAGAGACCCGATGGTATCTTCCTCTCTTTCGGTGGTCAGACCGCCCTGAACTTGGGTGTGCAGATGAACCGCATGGGTATCTTCGAGCGCTACGGTGTTCGCGTTCTGGGAACCAGCATCAAGACCCTGGAGACCAGTGAGGACCGTGATCTTTTCTCCAAGGCCCTGAACGAGATCAACATCCCCATCGCCGAATCTATTGCCGTCAGCACCGTCGACGAGGCCCTGAAGGCTGCTGAGACTGTTGGATACCCCATCATCGTCCGTTCTGCCTACGCTCTGGGTGGTCTGGGTTCCGGTTTCGCTGCCAACCCCGAGGAGCTGAAGAACTTGTCCTCTCGTTCCCTGACCCTTTCTCCCCAGATTCTGGTCGAGAAGTCTCTCCGTGGCTGGAAGGAAGTCGAGTATGAGGTTGTCCGCGATGCTGACAACAACTGCATCACTGTTTGCAACATGGAGAACTTCGACCCCCTTGGTATCCACACCGGTGACAGTATCGTCGTTGCTCCCAGTCAGACCTTGTCTGATGAGGAGTACCACATGCTCCGTACCGCTGCTATCAAGATTGTCCGCCACCTGGGTGTCGTTGGTGAATGTAACGTCCAGTACGCTCTGCAGCCCGATGGCCTTGACTACCGTGTCATTGAGGTCAATGCTCGTCTCTCTCGTTCCTCGGCTCTGGCCTCCAAGGCCACTGGTTACCCCCTGGCTTACACTGCTGCCAAGATCGGTCTGGGACACACCCTCCCCGAGCTTCCCAACGCGGTTACCAAGACCACTACTGCCAACTTCGAGCCCAGTCTGGACTACATCGTTACCAAGATCCCCCGGTGGGATCTGAGCAAGTTCCAGCATGTCAACCGTGACATTGGCAGTGCCATGAAGTCCGTCGGTGAAGTCATGGCTATTGGTCGTACTTTCGAGGAGTCTTTCCAGAAGGCTATCCGCCAGGTTGACCCCCGCTTCGTTGGCTTCCAGGGTGACCACTTCGAGAACCTCGACGAAGTCCTGAAGAACCCCACCGACCGCCGCTGGTTGGCTGTTGGCCAGGCTATGCTTCACGAGAACTACTCCGTTGACAAGGTTCACGAGCTGACCAAGATCGACAAGTGGTTCCTGTACAAGCTCCAGAACATCGTTGACTGCCACCACGAGCTCAAGGACATCGGCAGCCTCTTCGGCCTCCAGAAGGAGATCCTGCTGAAGGCCAAGAAGCTTGGTTTCTCTGACAAGCAGATCTCCCAGCTCGTTGGCGCCTCTGAGGACGACGTTCGCGCCCGCCGCAAGTCCTTCGGTATCAGGCCCTGGGTTAAGAAGATCGACACCCTCGCCGCCGAGTTCCCTGCCGACACCAACTACCTTTACACCACCTACAACGCTACCTCCCACGATGTCAGCTTCGATGACCACGGTGTCATCATTCTGGGAAGCGGTGTCTACCGTATTGGAAGCTCCGTTGAGTTTGACTGGTGTGCTGTCAACGCCACTCTTTCCCTGCGCGGCATGGGCAAGAAGACTGTCATGATCAACTACAACCCCGAGACCTACTCCACTGACTTCGATACCGCTGACAAGCTCTACTTCGAAGAACTCAGCTACGAGCGTGTCATGGATATCTACGAGCTCGAGAGCGCCAGCGGTGTTGTCGTCTCTGTCGGTGGTCAGCTTCCTCAGAACATTGCTCTCCGCCTCCAGGAGACTGGTGGTGCTCACGTTCTCGGAACTGACCCCAAGGACATTGACCGTGCTGAGGACCGTCACAAGTTCTCTCAGATTCTGGACAGCATTGGTGTTGACCAGCCCGCCTGGAAGGAGCTTACCTCCGTCGCCGAGGCTGAGCGCTTCGCTGAGACTGTTGGCTACCCTGTCCTCGTTCGTCCCAGTTACGTCCTGTCTGGTGCTGCCATGAACGTCATCTACAGCGTCGATGAGCTCAAGGAGAAGCTCCTCAACGCTAGCGCCGTCTCCCCCGACCACCCCGTTGTCATCACCAAGTTCATCGAGGGTGCCCAGGAGATCGACGTTGACGCTGTCGCTTCCAACGGCAAGCTTCTGCTCCACGCCGTCAGTGAGCACGTTGAGCCTGCTGGTGTTCACTCCGGTGATGCCACCCTCGTCCTCCCCCCCGCCAACCTGGAGGAGTCTGTCATGAGCCGCGTTAAGGACATTGCCGAGAAGGTCGCCAAGGCCTGGAACATCACCGGTCCCTTCAACATGCAGATCATCAAGGCTGATCTGGAGGGTGCTGAGCCTGAGCTGAAGGTCATTGAGTGCAACCTTCGTGCCTCCCGCTCCTTCCCCTTCGTCAGCAAGGTCCTGGGTACCAACTTCATCGATGTTGCTACCAAGGCTCTGGTTGGCCGTGACGTCCCTGAGCCCGTTGACCTCATGAAGGTCAAGCGCGACTACCTCGCTACCAAGGTTCCCCAGTTCAGCTGGACCCGTCTTGCTGGTGCCGATCCTTTCCTCGGTGTCGAGATGGCCAGTACTGGTGAGATTGCTTGCTTCGGTAAGGATGTCGTTGAGGCCTACTGGGCTTCCCTGCAGGCTACCATGAACTTCCGTTGCCCTGAGGCTGGTGAGGGTATCCTGCTCGGCGGTGATATCACCAACCCTGCCCTGGCCCAGATTGTCGAGTACCTCAAGCCCCTCGACTTCCAGTTCTTCGCTGCCAGCCCCGCTGTCAAGGAGCACCTTGAGGCTGCTACCAAGGTTCCCGTGCAGGTCATTGAGTTCCCCAAGCAGGACAAGCGTGCTCTGCGTGAAGTCTTCCAGAAGTACAACATCCGTGGTACTTTCAACCTTGCCAAGACCCGTGGCAAGTCCCTCCTCGATGAGGACTATGTCATGAGACGTAACGCCGTTGACTTCGGCGTTCCTCTCTTCATGGAGACCAAGGTATGCAACTCATTCCTCTTCCTCTCCACTTGTTTTGATGCTAACTGTTCTTTGTAGACTGCCCTCCTCTTCGCCCAGGCCATGAGCGAGAAGCTGCCCCGTCCCGATGGCATTCCTTCCGAGGTCCGCACCTGGTCCGACTTCACTGGCGGCAAGCTGCTGTAAACGCAAGTTTACCCACCAAAAGGACGAAAAGTTTGATTTCATAGATATAATCACGGTTTTGTATTCGTTCATCTTTCCAGGCACAGAAAAGCCGCCGTGTTTGGCGTAGCGGATAAGGCTCCATGTTGATAGATATGTTTACTCCGTCTTCAAAAAAGACGATATGAGGAATACGGTCATGCGCTCTGTGGTTATTCTTTTCTGGTTTGTTGGCCTTGTGGATGATTCCTTCTGCTGCCTTTTGCTTCGCAGTCTATAGGTTTGTAGGCCGGCTTTGTGCTTGAGCGAAAGGTCAATTATTCTTGATTCTAGTTGTATGTAGTATAGCCTGTCAATTATATCCAATTTCGATTTCTGAGATGATCTTGGTCAATTCCGTGCTTTGTACTGTAGTAGCTTCGTTATGATGTCATTATCATAGATCAACACTGTTATTTCTTCTCTTTGCGATTACAACTGAAAGGAGTATTCCACTATAGTGGTCCTGCAACGCGGTTAACTTAGCCAGCCCGCCCACCACACAAGTAGAAACAACATCGGTCTCTGGCGTCATACGCAACCTCGTGCTCATGACGTGATGTATAAATCTATATTAGTCTCTTCCTACTTCGAATTCTACCTTGTTATGTTTTAGCCCTTTTGAACACCAATGTATCCCATTTCAATTGTATAGAAGAATATCCTCGAGTAGAAACATTTTTCCATTCCGAGCTCATCCACGCCAAGCTTAGACGAAAAGGGAAATAATTCTATAACTTCAATGATATACAACTACAGGACCTTACAAACTATTTATCCTGCCTTGAGCAATCCAACCAAAATTCCAGACTAGTATATGGAAACCCACAAGATCCAATGAACACAAAAACCACACCCCAGCCCGCCCCAGGTGGTCTAGGACGAGGCCTCTTCGCCTCAACAGACATTGCTGTCGGCGAAGACGTGCTACACATTCCCGTTCCATTCGTGGCAGTCCTAGACACAGAGCACCTAGGAGAAGTATGCTCCGGCTGCTTCGGTCAAAGACAGCTCGAAGAGGAAGGGATTGCTCTGAAAGGGTGCAGAGGATGCGGTGTTGTGAAGTACTGTGATAAGGTTCGAAAAACTGCCCTCCGCACTTTCAGAACACCATCACTAACTCTTCTCGCAGACATGTCAAGCAAAAGACTGGAAACTGGGCCACTCTCTCGAATGTACCATCTATCAGAAACTGAAGCCTCGTATTCTACCTATCAACGCACGAGCCGTGCTCCGCATGGTCTTGCGCAGCGAACGCCAAAAGTACTCCGACGAGGAGCTGGATCAGTTCCTGCAGCTTGAGACGCACATTAAGGACATTCGTGACAAGAGTGCGTCACAATGGGAGCGTATATCCCTTTCTTCGAAGGCGATCAAGGCCTACTCTGGTACGGATATGAGTGAAGAGGTCATATCTGCTATGGGAGCTAAGGTGCGTACATACACCCACACACAATGTTATACATATACCCTTCGAAAACAACTCACCTCCTCTTCAGCTCGACCTCAACTCCTTCAACCTCACCAACGCCGTCTACGACCGCCTCGGCGTCTACCTCCACCCCTACGCCGCCATCTTCAACCACAGCTGCGACCACAACGCCGCCGTCAGTTTCGACGGTCCCAATCTACACATCAAAGCCCTCCGACCCATCCGAAAGGGCGAGCAAATCTTCATCACTTACATAGACGTAACAGACCCCTATCCAATTCGCCAACATAACCTCCAATCCCGATACTACTTCACCTGCCACTGCTCGAAATGTACCTCCGAAGCAGCCTCTCCAACAGCAACGACCCTACACCCTGCACAGCAAGAAGCCTACGACATCATTCAATCTCTATCTACTTTAGAGAACCCCATCCAATCCATCCTTAAAGCCCTCACCACCCTCCGAACCAGCTCCATCCCCGCAACAACCCAACCCTCCATCTCCCTCCTCGACGAACTCATCACGTCCCTCCTCGCCCAACAGAAATACAAATCGGCCTTCGCGTACGCAGCGGCCCGATACCGTGCTGTCGATCCCGTGGTGTTCCCGCTCAAGGGCCATCCTATCCGGTTGCTGCATGCGTGGGTGTTGGCTAGGTTGGCGATTCATTTGTCGCAGGGTGTTGAAGTGGAATCTAATACTACTACTGCTGCTGCTGCTGCTGCTGCTGCTGCTGCTGCTGGTGGTGAGGAGGTTGCGTTGGAGAAGTACGAGTTGAATTTCAATCTGGTTATTTGGTCGGTATTGGCGGCGTTGGTTGGGGAGGAAGAGATCGGGGGAACAGGGCCTGGGTTTTGGAGGTTGGTGAAGAGGGAGTTTCGGGCTGTGAGGGGGGAGTTTGTTGCTGCGGGGTTGGATCCGAGGGGTTTGAGGGAGTTGGAGAGGGAGATTGGGAGGGAGTGGGGGAAGGTGGATAAGGTAGTTAGGGAGTTGGGGTTCAGTATATAAGTAGATAGAATAGTATGGATGATGGGGGTGATGTCTACACGAGTGACTTAACGAGTGAAAATGATGATGAAAAGTTGAAATCGTTAATAAATTAGACTGACTGCCGAAGACAGCAAAGCCTACTTAGCCTCTGAGCTCGTCCCCATCTCCCATCCATCCAGGGCTTGGATCGTAAAAAAGGCTTAGGAAGGATCCGGTTGGGTTTCTTGCTTTGTTTTTTGTATCTTTTTTCGTTCTCATGATTGCCGACAAGACCTTTATATTGAGATGCAAACAGCTGACCCGCACTTGGACATACAAGGTAAGAAGATGAGAACCCAAAGAAATGCCATATGGGTATCCATCCAGTTTTGAATTCTTTTTTTCCTTTATCCGTAGATCCTCCCAGCAACATTCCGTACGCCCGAGTTCCTCCTCCACACGACGAGACACTCCATCCAATAAAGCTTTTCTTCTTTACTTGAGGGGAATGAAACGGGAAGAGTGGGTGGCACCGATACCGGGACGACCGTGCTTGACGGGCTTGCTGTGTGGTTGTTAGACATATCTATTCATGTGTATAATTTTCTTGCGGGTATGGGTACGTACTAGGAGATAGAGAATTCACCCAGGTAGTGGCCAACCATCTCGGGCTTGACTTCGATCTGGTTGAACTCCTTACCGGAGTAGATACCGATGACGCTGCCGATCATCTCGGGGACAACGATCATGTCACGGAGGTGGGTCTTGACGAGGTCGGGCTTCTCGTTGGGGCGAGCCTCCTGCTTGGCCTTGCGGAGCTTCTTGATGAGACCCATGGGCTTGCGCTTCAGACCGCGGTTGAAGCGACGACGAGCGCGGGCGTGAACGACATCACGGAGCTGTTCGGAGGAGAGGTCGAGGAGCCTGTGCAGATAAACAGGTCAGATTTCCATTCCATATCATTTCTTTCCGGGTCTTTCGATAGCGTAATCATGTGCCGTCCCTCGACCGTCGACTCCCACGAGGATATTCCGCAAATATCCAGAAATGTCCATATTGCTGATATCGCACGTTCGGAGTCGAGGCCGTCGGATCGGAGTGCAGTGTGGGTATGATAGATATTCATGGTGGAACGTACTGGTCGAGGTCAATTCCGCGGTAGGTGAACTTGCGGAACTGTCTTCTCTTCTTGATCTCTGTATCCCGGATACGTCAGCGCCTTATTTTCCCTTCACTTCATTGCTGCGTGGTTCTCGTGGTTGGTGTGCGGAAAAACGCAAGAATAGAAACGTCGACAGAGAATTCGGTCCGTTGCCCCCCATCCCTTCATCAATTTCCAAGAGTCGCATCATCGAAATATATCCATAATATATCGCAGGTCCAACAAAATACCGTATCCCACAACGCGAATTCGTCTCTGTTTCCGGGGTCCAGGGTAGGGAAAGGTGATTCAGGTGAAAAATTCAAACGTACCGGCAGCCTCCTCGGCGTTCTATAGGCAAGATAACGTTAGTTCAAACTCTTCCTAGTCCTCACTAACATGTATTCTGATATCGGAAAACTCACGTAGTGCTCGTCAGCCATTTTTGCGGTGTTCCTCTCAAGGTCGCTTTCCGAACGGGTCTCGAAAAGCGAAAGAACGATGGGTTGTCGTGTCGTGTCGCTGATGAACGTACGTCGGGCGTCTCTTGTGCCTCTGCGCTGGGTTGGGAGGTGGGCTGGAGCCTCGTCTAAGCGACCCGTCTAGGGTTGCGACCCTACTACACTAGGCCGCTTTGGGAAGCCATCTATAGGGCCGCCGGTCCAGCTGCCCTAAAGATTTGTATGGGGTATCTATGGACTATCAATGGATTAATTATCGATTGGGCTTGAAATCGTGGTTCTGTCGGAGCTTATTGGCTTGTTGTAATCATTTCAATGGTCTCTTATATAAATTTTGACCAGCACTTACCGTTTTTGGTAGTAGTTGAAGGAAGCGTATCTAGTAGTTACAGAGAAACCCGCGCAAAGAATCCCATACTACGTACGTTCTACGAAATGTAGTGTCACTCAATCAATCGGGAGGTCAGAGAATCTGTATTGGCTAAAGCTCTTTCCAGCTCACGCATGCATAATTCGTAACTGCATCAGAAAAGCCTGGCAAACACCGGCTTGACTGGACCAATGGGTAATTTTCCTCCCTAGACTGAAAATAACCGCCAGATTTCTGTTCCCCCACGAACTGTTACGTTTTTCTCGGTGTTCGGAGTGAAGGCGCTTAGTCGAAGAGACCGAAGCCCATGTCCTCATCGGACTCCTCAGCGGCCTCCTCCTTCTTCTCCTCAGCGGGAGCCTCAGCAGCGGCGCCACCGGCAGCGGGGGCAGCAGCAGCAGCACCACCGGCACCACCGGAGGGAACGGAAGCAAGCTTCTGGGAACCCTCGGAGATGAGCTGTTGTAGTTGAAAAATCATCGTCAGTATTCCATCTCGTAAATCGCAATTCTTGGTAAAATTTATATGGGCGTTAACTAACCTCCTGGAGGTCCTTGCCCTCGAGCTCAGCAAGGAGCTTCTGGAGGCGCTCCTCCTCAGCGTCGATGCCGACGGCGGAGAGGACGGACTTGATGTCCTCAGCGGAGGGGGTGTTGTTGCCAGCAAGGGCCAACAGAAGGTAGGCAGCGAGGTACTTCATTTTGAATCTGCACAAGAACCTGTCAGAACAACTGCGCCGGGAATATCGTGGTCGTACTGTCGAAAATGCGCAACGAAGCAATCAAAAGGGCAACGTACAGTTGTGGTGGTGAACACGAGAATCAATCGATTTAACCGCAAAGTTGGGCGGAGACTGACACGTCGAGTTCGCTGGGGGTTGAGCGATGTGATGGACGGAAAAAGAGAGAAATGGAATCCGAAGTTGAAAATCAAGAAAAGTGCGATGCGGCTGGTGGGTTGTGGCTAGTGCAGATCGTGCTAGTTCCGGCTAAGCGAGCGGGCGTGGCGCATGCGTAACTCCCATGCCTTGGGCCCCGGTCACGTGGGGTCGCTGCTTCTAGAAGACAGGATGGCGACTTCTTGCACCGTTTTTGCCCGGCGGCTTTATCTGGTCGACCTCGTTGTATCCAGCTATCGCTTTGTTGGCATCGGCTTTGGGCCTTAATTCACGTCGTGCTTTATGCCTGGCACTAAGACGTGAATTTGGCTTATCTCTAATCTGAAAACGATCGATTTTTAGTGGTTCCGCAACAAGTCATGAAGGTACCCCGTCATACTAACCACCGACGGTGAAACTACCCCCCTTCGTGACTACTCATATTCGATAGCTTTTGGCGCTTTCTTTGCCTAATAGGTGACAAAATGAGTGTAAGGACTCTATGGATGGTTGCTGTTTGATGGCTTTTGCTGATCATACGACAGTTTCTCGATTCCGTTCTTTCGTCTATCGAGACGGGTAAACCGTCTCCAATCCCCCCCACCTCTGCCTCACCGTCGCCTCCTGTAACCTCTTCAAATGCTAAGACCGAGGTCCGCAAACCGGTTAACGTCTCTCGAGATGGCGCTTCAGAGCGCAAACCTCTGGTTTCTGGAATCAAGCGAAAGGCCGAGGAGCAGCTAGCTCGTCCTGCAAAATCTGTTACTCCAGCACCTACCAGGGCAGCAGCAACATCATCAACAACCAATACCACTACCACAGCGAAGTCTACCGTATCTACAGCTCCTAGACCTCGTCCGAGCGCACCTTCTACAACAGCGACCACTGCAGTCAAGAGCCGCTCTTCAACCCCCCAGCAGAAGGCGCCTCCAGTGTCATCGAAGCCTCCCCCTAAAGGCTCCTTTGCGGATCTCATGGCCAAGGCTAAAGCACTACAAGAGAAGGCCCCGACTCAAGTTGGCATGTTCAAACACCAATCTGCCCCCAAGGAGAAGCTCAGCAAAGTCGAACGCAAGAAGAAGGCAGCGGAGGCGCAGACCAAGGACAAAGATGTGCGGTCGGCCAAGAAGGCAGGCGTTACTGCTGGTGGAGCTGCAGGCACGAAATCCGGTGACGGCAAGGTCGTCAAGAAGAGGGAACCCGAGCCATTATCCTACAAAGGAACCGCAAGACCGCCTCCGTCTACAGGCCAGCCCGAATACCGAGGAACCGCCGGTCTGCCACCACGCAAAACACTTGGCGACCGGAAAGCACAGTCTCGTTCCAAGCCTCGGATGGATGAATACCTGGGGACTGATGAGGAAGACGAGGGCGATTATGCCGATGACTACGACGACTACTATTCAGAATCCTCCGATATGGAGGCGGGCTTGTACGATGTGGAGGAAGAGGAGGCTGCTGCACTGGCGGCCGCCCGACGGGAAGATGAGGAGGAATGGCGCGCAGAGCTTGCCGCCAAGCAGCAGAAACTGGAGCGTCGCAAGAAGCTCGCTTCGTTGGCATCGCGACGATAAGAAGAAGTCCTTTGCTTCCACGATATACCTACCTAATCAAGCTTTTTGCTAGCCCTGCAAGCCGTCTTACCCGGACTCCCACAATTTTCTTGGATTTTCCCTTCTGTTTTCATTGTTTTCTTGTTTGGATACGGAGCATCAGCGAGGAATACCCCGAGGGTGCGTTACATACGACGTTACTGGTCTTCTTTGTTTTCATTTGTTCATTTCTGTACCAATTTTGGATGAGCATCAGCGAGCGTCAAGGTGTCGATAGATGGAGGGCGATTATCTTCATTTTCACTTCACATATTAACATTGCTAGTTACATACAATAGCGGGCGTGTCTGTTACTGTCACTGTTCTCGTGGTAGCATTGAATGCGATTGGATAGCTGCAAATATTGACCACTCTCATCGTCATTGCTGGTAATGTGATTAATATATAGTAAGGATTGAGCAAAGCAATCAAGACCGGATTCTTATCGAGAAATGACCCCATCTGCCCCACCCGTAGGCGGTGACATCACTCTTCCTTCTGCTCCTACAGCTGCTGCTGCTTCTTCTCTCTACTTACTACTTCTCTCTTCAATTGCTGCGCAGTCGATCTGCTCTTTATTATAGAACGCATAGTATAC